GCTGCGGAATTATGGGATTGATGATGGTCTTGATGAAGGATGTTGATGATGTTGATGATGAAATGAAGATGGTGGTGATGTTGTATCTCAAACACGCCAAAGATGAAATAGTGCTAAGGAGCACAATCCCGGTCTTCACAAACTTGCTTGAGGGGTGGTGATAGTGTCTTCAACCCACTAGATATTAATCTAGGAATTTAGGAATCAATTTGGAAGGAATGACGCCACAAGTATATGAATTATACTTGCTTAATCGATAAAGTTCACAAAGAACTTTGAAGAGAAATTAACTCACAAGAGTATGTTTTATATATGAGATGAGATGATTACAAATGAATGCACTAGCCTATTTATAGTTTTTCAAAGGGTTTAGGCCGAATAGGTACATGATGGTTCGGCTATGCATGAAACCCCTTTGAAAATACATGACTTTTAAATGAAAATACATGATTTTAATGAAGATACATGCTCTTGGCCGAATAGTAAGGTGTTGGTTCGGCCTAAGGATGTTTTGAATGCTTTTGGAAGTCATTTGGGCGCCAAAATGGAGAGGAATAAGTCTTTGGCCGAATAGGAAGCATCCCTTGGTGTTTTGGCGCCTATTTGATGTCACATGGAGTGCACATGCTTGAATGATGCACATGGCAGCCTACTTGAATGCACATGGGTCTTCTTGCAAGGCTTTGGTGAGGTTGCAACCATAGGATAATGTCTTGAAGTCCATGGAATGAAGATGGCAGCAACTAGGCGTGACTTGGCTTCCAACATGCATCTAGGTGTCATGGTCTTCAATGGGCAGCAACTTGTCATGAAAGGTCACATTTGTGGAAGGTAACCTTTCATCATTTGAGCTACTTCCCATGTGTATGAGCTGAAGATGAGCTGGTCATAGGTGAATTATATGAAGATGAGTCTTTGGCCAGCTCCTTGTGAAAAGGCACCTCTTGGAATGGCAACTCTTCGCGAAAAGGTATGAATCCACAAAAATTAACTTAGACCATATTTGAAGTACTCTGTGTGGTGGTGATGGTGGTGCAACTCTCCAGCTGAAATGAGGTCTCTAGCTAGCTCAAAAGTCCAGCTCAAGTGAGCTATGAGCTCGGGGGTCAGCTGACAACTTTTCATCATTTGTTCTTCATGATCTCCCGAGTCATCCTATGAAAGTTTTCCTAGCTCCTTATCATTAGTTAAGCTCAAATGTAGCTCCCAAGTGTTGGCCGAATATGCCTACATGCATAACATAAAGAAATAAACTAAGTATATAAACTATATAATGCATATAATATAATGATGTGCATATTATAAAGATGTGAACTATAGGTTATAATAATAATTCATGCATCATATGATAATGAATGAATATTAATATTATAACTATAGATTATATACATGAATATTAATCAATGATGCAAACCATAGGATATAATGAATGAATGCACATACTATGAGAATTCAAGTATAGTCTAATATGCAAATGTATGCTCATAATAATATATAGTGCATAAATAAGTAAATATAATATAAAGTATGGTAGAACTCCCTTATATTGAGTTTGATGGTTCTTCAATGATGTGAGTATGTCATGCAGAAAGTTGGTGCTAAACAGGATCACATCAGGAGAGTTGCACCATCACTACCACCACAAAGAGTACTTCAAATATGGTATAGGTCAATTTTTGTGGAATCGTACCTTTTCGTGAATAGCTGTCATTCCAAGAGGTGCCTTTTCACAAGGAGTTGTTCAATGATTCACCTTCGTGTAATTCATCTATGACCAGCTCATCTTTAGCTCAAACACATGGGAAGTAACTCAAATAATGAAAGGTTACCTTACACAAATGTGACCTTTCATGACAAGTTGTTGCCCATTGAAGACCATGAAACCTAGATGCATGTTAGAAGCGAAGTCATACCTAGATTAATGCGTATCTTTATTCCATAGACGAGCCCACACAACAAGCATCCTATGAACCCATGTGAGTGCCTCATGACCAACCCAACCATGTGCCATGCGTGTAGATCAATTAGGCGCCAAAGAGAAGGGATGCATATCTATTCAGCCAAGCATGAGGATACATCAAAATGGGCGGCAATGTGAACAAGCATGGGCGGCAAAATGAACCAGCACTTACTTATTTATTCAAAGCATTGTAACCCCTTGTAAAGTCACATAGCATTGCCGAAACACCACCTAGTTATTCGGCTAAATCCCTTGCAAGCCTATAAATAGGCTTTTCCATTTTATTAGTAACTCGACCCTTTTGATTAATATAAACTCTTTGTGAGATTTTCTCTCTTGCAAGTTCTTTAAGAACTTTATCGATTAAGCAAACTTTCTAAGTTTGTGGCATCAATTCCTTTACCTAGATACTTCGAGTTCCTACTTTTTATAACTAGAGGGTTTAAGTCCTATCCTACTATCCCTTATTTAAGTTTATAAAGAATGAGGTTAAACTTTCTATAGTTTTTCTTCCTCTTTAACTTATTTAAGATACTACCTTCATCCTTCCATATTCCATCATCTTCACGCCTACACCATCTTCATTTCCATTACAATTCCAACACCATTGAAGCATCCTTCATTATTCATCAAGGTCAACGTACATCATCACCATTGGAGGCCGAATCAACTTCCATTTGAAGGATCTTTCTACATCACTTCCGCAACCTACCTTTGATAACAACTCTATCCCTTTCATTTCTTATCATTTCATTTCTTTCTTACTTTCTTATTCCATTTTTAATCATTTCTTTCATTTATTTGTGCAGATTACTTATTAATTCAAGTGTGGCATTTGGTGTATCTCCTAGATCGGGAAACAACAAGGTTGGCAACTTCTCCATCATTGAAGAAGCTTGGATAGCCTTACACCATAATGTATATACATGTTGTAAACGTAGCTACTCAAACTCAGACATAAAAGGGTTAACTTACCTTGGGTAATGTTTTTTTCTTTTTTAGTATTAATTTGAGGTAAGTATAAGGTAATATTTGTTCAAAGATAACTCTCAATCATTTAACATTGAACGTTCATGCCCTAGCATTCTTAGTGCTTGAACCCGAGACCACAAACAATAATAGCAATTCCTTTACCATTGAGACCGCTTGGTTCGTATTACTTTGGGTAATGTTATGAGAAGTGAAAGGGACACACGCTTTTGCTTCGACGTTCTTAACATAGAAAAATTATATGATAAACTATACGTTTAGTATCCTAACAATCACTTTTGTTCTATTTTGGTCTCTCAATTTTTTTTCCAAAATCATACATAATGTTCATTTTTGGTTTCATTTTGTTCATTCATCGTTAAAAATTTAACAATGATGTTGATATGCCACCATAAGTTAATGACACATTATCATTGAAAAATAAAAAATGTCATGTTAGCAGTTTTATTAATTTTTAACAGTAGATGACCAAAATAAAATAAAATAAAAAGTAACATTAAGATGATTTTGAAAAACAAATAGTTGAATGATCAAAACGAAAAAATGATAATTGAGATACTAAACATATAATTTACCAAAAAATATATGATAATTCAAAGATTTTAACACTAGGCTTCAAAATCAAAAGCATGGGACCAAACAGCACAAAAGCCCTTCAAACCCTGTTTAATATTAAACTTAAATTGGGTTCCAAATGGCAAGCATAAATCTCGTTGAAGGCCACTTTTGGGAACTTAAAATTACTTTAATCAAGAGCCAAAACCCTTGACTGAGACTATTTAAAGAGTCTAAATGGCATACGCTCAAAGAACAGAGAAACAGTGAAACGTAGATTTCATCATCAATAAGGTTAGCACTTAGCATAGTTTATTGAGAAAAGAAGGTAACAAAAATTTACCGTATTTCAACAACTAAGTTTTCAATAGTTATTAGTACGCTTTCAGATTGAAAGAAAGGGTCCAGCTGCCTAACATTGGGACCAGTTTTCAGGCTGCTGTTTGGTTTTCGTTGCTAAATTTGTTTGGCTCTCAAGATTTGGAATTCTGACGGCTTCACTCCTTCCGAGAAAACCCAGACTGAAAATCCTCGTTTTGGTTCCAGGCATGTCCTTTTTCTCATTCGATTATGTTGTTTCTCTTGAAAGGAATGAGCTTTTCTTTATGTTTCTGAATGTTTATTCAGTGGTTCTTGTTTTGGTTTCTCCAACTTCTCATCTTTTCTGTTTCATGAATAGCTGTTATCAAAGCTTGCCAAAGTTGATAAAACTGAAATGGATTTAAGCTGTTCCAAGACAGGAATTGTTTTTTTTAATGGCAAAGGGGCTGTTGGACAATTTTTTTTAGCTTGGGGTTTCATGTTAACGGAAAACTTGATACGTTTTCAGGTGAATTATGTTATTAAGCACAATACACTTTTGTTTGATTCATTTATTTTCATCTGCCTTCTTTTTTCTGCAGTTCTAATTTGTGGGTATGAATGATTAAAAGGGAAATATTCAAGATTGTATAGCTGAATCTGTATGCTAGAAAATCAATCTTGAAAATGTGTACTTTATCCATTCGGACTGGTTCAGAAAAAAATATTGTTCTTTTACAACTTAATAAGCTGCTTCTCAGATCTCGTGTTTGTATGTTATAACTGAAGCATAACTTAATTGGTGAAAAACCTTTCCTTCTAATAAATCTAATGTGAAAATCATTTTCTCAGCCAAATTATATATATATGTGTGTGTGTTTATTGGAAAAACAGTTCTTTTTGGGTTGATCTCCATTTCAGATGGTAAAATAGAGCTTAGAATTTAGCGGCTAAGCTGTACTGCTAAATTCAAGTAATAGGTCAAGTTAGTGCTTTACTGATTTCTATATGTGATATGTGCTTAGTGGAGATTCATCTATCATTGACAATAATATGGTTCGAACTTTTTTTCGAACTAATGTTCTGTTTTTGTGCTATGTAATTAAACTAATTTTTAGTAGACCATTTTTCAGCATATGTTATATCATGCTTTGTAGGTTATAATTTGAATTTCGAACTTGATGACTGCAACTGGTGCAGTTATTTTCGTAAAAGTAGAATAAGGTCTTGAGCATAATGGGAATTTCCTTACGGAGGTGTTGCCTCTCCTACTATTCCTTTATGACAAACCGTTCATTGGGTTTTTTTTACTAGTTTACAAGGTTTCAGAAACACCAAAAGTTGTATTAATATGAGTTACAATCACCTCTGTTGGGATGCAGTGTTAATGTAAGGATACCAAATGAGACAACGAGACTTATTATAATGGCTTTTGCTGGAGTTATTTTTGGCTTTTTTTTAGGAGCCTCCTTTCCAACAGTTTCATTGACTAAGGTACAACAGTGCTCGCACTATCTCATACATATCCAGCTATTAAATGTTTAGTTTTCTTTTGTTTCCTTTTTTTCCCTTTCCCGTGTTATTTAACATGAAATTACGAGTTTATTTCGATATGTTTAAATTTTGGTAGATGAATCTCCCATCAACCCTATTCCCTTCCATGGATCTTACATATATCGAGGACAAATATTCCGGCCTTTCAACCCAAGAACTATTTAATGCTTTGAGCACTCTCAGGGCTAATAGGGACACCTCAACGTATTCATACAATTATACCAAGAAAAAGGTGAATCCCCTTTGTTTTGATTATCTATGCAGCATTACGATTCAGGAACTTAGACTGTAGGCTTCCCCCGTCCTGAAATTACAAAAAATTATACCATGATTTCTACTCCGTGGTTGAAAATTTTGGGCAAAAAATCTCTGTAACCAAGCTATCAAAGGAATATTTGCATTGAATTGAGTTCAGATTTATATGAATTAAGAATGAGATTTATTACTATATAAAGGATTAATTAAAGCATTTTTTTATAATGGGAAACTGAATATCCGGACCTCAGTTTTATCAACTAAGTAAACTATCTTTTCTTTAGGAGGAGCTTCTCTAGCAGGAGGTATTTTACGGAGTTATTTGTGACAGTGTTGCTAATATCTGCTGGGGAGCTTTGAATAGAACATTTCGATGCAATCAATTGCATGTACAACTTCTCAAATCTTGATTGATGCTTTTGTCATTTCAAGGAAAATCGGAGTGTTGGTTAGAACTGTTTTATGAACTAAAGAAACAAAAGTTAAAGATTTTTCCTGGAGATGGATACAAATATTTTTAGTTGTTGTTAATTTTGGATGGAGAAACTTTGTGAATCTCCCTTACTCATTGTCATGTTATTACATTGTATGCGCATTAACCTTGGATGGTGCCTCATTGCACATTAAGCGTAATGTGATTGGTGATGGAGGTCAAAAACCACTCAGATTAGACTTTCTTTTTCGGGCTAATATGTGATGGTATTCAATAGTTAGTGCAACAATTTCCAAACAAAATCAATGAACATTAGCACTTTTAGGTTTTAGCATGAGAACTAACTATTAATATTTAATTGTGGCATATCTGGATTCCTATAAATCCAAGGGGTGCTGAAAGACTTCTTCCAGGTATAGTTACATCTGAGTCTAATTTGTACCTTCGTCGATTATGGGGTCAGCCAAGTGAGGTATGCATTTTCAACACTTCATGTCGATTCATTGTTTTGTTTCATCATCCTAGTTCTATTCATGACAGAGTGCTCTGGTTCCCATCAAAACATAAGGAAGAATTTTTAGAAAAATTGAATTTATGTTATACATATTTAGTTTTTACTCCTGCATCCTGATGAAGTTGGATCCGGTAAAGATAATTTTTCTCTGATGTATCTGGGTTGATGGGGTTACATTGCAGGACTTAACAATCATACCGAAGTATCTTGTAACTTTTACAGTTGGTTATAATTAGAAAGAAAATATTGATGCATCTGTGAAAAAGGTCAGTCCTCTCCCACTGTGCACACACTCAAACTATATATTCCCTTTCATGTCTGACTTTTATCTAAAAACTTTTGTTTTATAGTTTTCAGAGAATTTCACAATTGTGTTGTTTCATTATGATGGTCTTACCACTGAATGGGATGAGTTTGAGTGGTCAAAGTGTGTTATTCACGTGAGTGTTCCAAAGCAGGCTAAATGGTTAGCAATCAACTCTTTTTCTCTTTAGAAATCTATGTTACCCTTGTAGGTTTTATGGGATTTTGCTAAGTTCTAGTTTTGTTTGTACACAAACTCCTTAATCTTTCGTACAGGTGGTATGCAAAGCGCTTTTTGCACCCTGATATTGTTGCACCTTATGAGTACCTTTTCATTTGGGATGAGGATCTTGGGGATGAGAACTTTGATGCCAAAGAGTAAGTACATATGTTCATTATCTTCAAGTGAGAAATACGTTCCCTTAAGCTAAAATTAAACCCCTTTTGTTCTCAGATACATTAAACTTGTTCGAAAACATGATTTAGAAATATCCCAGCCAGGTTTAGATGCAAATAGTGTTGGACTGACATGGGCAATGTCGAGAAAGAGAAACGATAGTGAAGTTCACAAGGAAGGGCATTTTACTTTAACAACCTGATCGTGGTTGATGTGTACCTAACTGGTAATTCAGCATAGATTGGAATGTTTTCTATGGAAGAAAGGTAGTTTGATCTTTGGCATTTGTTCTCTCTCCTATAGGGATACCGAGGAGAGACCTGGTTGGTGTATTGATCCACATTTGCCTCCATGTGCAGCGTAAAGAACATAATGAACCCCCTTTGTTAAAATAATTAAACATATCCATTATTTTTTGAATCGTAACCACGTGTTCTTGGATACTTGATGCTTAGATTTGTCGAGATCATGGCTACAGTGTTATGTCAGGGTGCATGGCGATGTGTTTGGCATATGATTCAGGTACGTGGTGAGTTGATTATTGTAGATTATGTCAGTTCTCAACTTATTCACTGTTTATAATATAATTTATCCTTTAAAATGCAGAACGACTTGGTTCACGGATGGGGTCTTGATTTCTCTCTCCGAAAATGCTTTGATGTTAGAGATTGTCTTTTACATTAGTTAACTTTCTCCCATATACATACAATATAATTTTACACTGATTTTGTAACTTTATGAGAAAATCGGGGTTGCAGATGCTCAGTGGATTGTACATAAAAGTGTTCCTTCTCTTGGAAACCAGGTAAATATTAATCCATTAACCATTGTTTTTACTGTATTCAATATGTACAGTATATAATTCACTTTTCTTTTCTTTTCTTTTTTTTCACAAGGGAAAGTAGAGGGTGGAAGGGCTCCATGGGAAGGGGTATGAACGAACACACACACACAATGCCTATTTAAACATGTTTGTATGCATGTGTTCAATGAGAATTGTGTTAAAAGTTACAAAATTTCATGTGGCAGGTGAGGGAAAGGTGTAGAAAAGAATGGACAACGTTCCAAGACCGACTGACTAATACAGAGAAAGCATATTATGGAGCACTGAGAATTAATCCTTACAATGAAACGGGTAATTAGTGGATATAATATAGCATTTTACACTACTAGCATTAGAGTTAAAAAGTCACTTCTATATGGGATGCAAACCTTGATTTTTGGCTAAAATAGAAGGTGACTTTGATCCTTTCAGCATATATAATGTTACTTGAGCATAACATTATATACTGGAAGTAACTGCATGAACTAACTAAACAAAATTCGGTCTGGACTTATAAAAATTCTTTGTTTTCTTGTTTTCCCTACCGTTTCAAAGTGCAAAACATTTTTCGTTTCCAGGATTGGAGAACAGTAATACCAATAAATTGATGTTCATTTTCTAGGATTGGGAAATAGGAATAACAGTTAACAAGCAATTGGTGCAATGGCACATTGTGTGTGGATTCATGTGTTGATATGTTCAGAGTTGGATCCCACTTGAACCTTTTCCCCTTTCCCGTAGAATGTAGTATGAGCTTTGGTTGTTCCCAAAAAATGGTAAACTACTCATATGATCATTTAACTCTGGGGTTGATGTTGATATGACCTATAACCCCCTCAGAACGATGCGGGTAACCCGATCTGATATGGAGTGTCACATTAGGGCCACCGGAGTGATCCACTGTAAAAATCTCGGAAAATTTAAAACTTTTGTCAAAACATGTAACTCATAAAATGATTTATGAATACAAAATAAAATTTATCAGTATTCAGAAATAAAACAGATTTTCAGATTCGTATATAAAACAAAATACAATTACATGCCCCCTAATCACATGTACCATACTCTGCAAACAACACCAGAAGAACTCCCTTACTGAAGTCGATAGCTGCATTGGTACCATTCTTTTAACATCCAATGGTAAGTAATAGAGTGAACTTTGGAAAGCTCAGTAATACAAAACTACCAGATGATGCTGAAAAACGTGTAGATACAGATAAACATATTTTTTCTTTATCGGTTCAGACATCTACAGGTCTTTATGTTGAGCGGAAATCCTACTGATATTTCAGGTAGTAACAGACAGTGAGATTCCAATTCAGAGAAATATTTTGGATGACTAAGTTTAGGAGATCAGAACAGGTTATCTAGTGTGTTCTCGTAAAACCAGTGAAAAGATACAGATCTTTTTAAAATATATTTTTAAAAACATAACACTACCTCCATCCTTTCACAATCAGTTTGTGTAGGTTCCCCAGAACCATACACCCCGCACAACGAGTGAGGCACTGAACACACAGCCGAGAAGCCTACAGATATACGTCCTCCAAAAATAAACCCCTATATAAAACATTTCTTCTTCAGTAAACGGAGATATCATAAATCAAAACAGAATACAAATCAGATATCAGAACATAAACCAGATCAGAAATCAGAACATAATTCAGGTAATGTATCAGAACAAAATTCAAGTCGAAAAGCAGATAAAATATTAATGTGATTAGGGAACACACCAGAGTTTATGGATATTATTCAGAGGTACAAGATAATCTTAATAGGCAAACACACGGATTTTCAGTATACTGATAGAATGTCGAAATGTAGAATCACTATAGGAAGGGTTCAATAACTGACGGAATCATCAGTTATTTAGAATTTAAATTATCATGATCATATCTTATTCGGACATTTTCAGAAGTTGTACGTAATCAGAAGGGTATTCATAATCCTTTACAACTATGTCGATTGATCGAATAATCGAACAACTTGAGGCGAATAGCTCTCAGAACAAATGCTTGTCGACTGATCAATTCATTGTCCTTCTAGGGTATTTACTCATTAATACCATAAATTCTTGTCTATAGATCATCTTTGGAACCATTGTTTAATAGATCTTAAGGAAACTAACAGATATTTCAATGCTCTTTATCTCATTTCCACGCTTCCACGATATCATGAAATGCTAACGTGTTTGATCTGTAGTTCATTACCCATAAGAACATTACATCATGTATGATCATTAACATTTTCAAACTCAACCAAATCACTTACTTAATCCTCAGTCCTTGAGGTTAGCCAATTCATTTAGCAGTCACGTCCATTCCAGTTACTTCGAGGTTTTCCAGAGTAATTCGTACGTTTCTGAATTTCGGATACATATTGTACTCCTGTTCCATTTAATTTGGTCTTCATGGTTGATTTGTCTAACGAATATCCCATTCTTAGTACAAAATGTGATCTAGAATTGAGATGAGTTGAATACTTCTAAAATTATCATTGAATCAAACTTGAGAAGTCGAACACGTATTCAAGTGACATCTATGTCGTTCGGGTACTGATATAACACTAGCATTGGTTGCTCG